GGCATTAATTAGAGGGGATCTCTGTGGGTACAGCAGTCAGTGGCCTCCCCTCTAATTAATGCCCAACCCTAATTAATCCCCACCCCAATTAAGCCCCTCCTTCACCGATTTTGACGGGGAAGCCAGGGGGCAGCTTGAGGGTGATGAAGTCACGCAGTTTGGCGAAGTGGGCGTTGGAGATGGCCATGAGGTCGATGATGGGTGTCACCTGCTCCGCCAGTGACAGCGGGTGCTGCTCACACAGCCACAGCGTCGCCTTGAACCTGCCAAGGCACTGCTGTGGGCATGGGCACCCACAGTGCCACCGTCCCTGGGCACTGACACCATCCCCAGGGGTATGGACACCCAGCGCCACCGTCCCTGGGCACTGGCACCACCCCCGGGGGTATGGACACCCAGTGCCATGTCACCTGGGATCCCATCACCACCCCCAGGGGTCCTAACATTCAGTGTCATGTCCTCTAGGACCCCAGAACCACTCCATGGATCCAGCTATCCAGTGCCACATGCCCTCGGACCCTGTCACTACCCCAGTGCCACATCCCCTGGAAGCTCATCACCACCCCCAGCTGGGACCCTGTCACCACTCCAGTGTCATGGCCTTGGGACCCTGTCACCACTTCCATGGATCCTGATGCTCAGTGCCACATCCTCTGGGACCCCATCACCACTCCCACGTGGGTCCTGACACCCAGTGCCATGTCCCATGAGACTCCATCAAAGGTTCTGACACTCAGTGCCATGTACCTGGGCCCCTGTCCCCCCGGAGCGGTGGCCTCACCTCTGCACCTTGCTGGACATCTCGATGGGGCGCCCGATGTTGCGTGTCTCCAGGTCGAAATGGGGGTCGAAGTACTCCTCAGGGGTGATGGCTGTGGGGTTGGTGGGGCTGGCAGCCTGCAGCACGGGTGCCTGTGGGGACACTGGCACCACTCAGCCCTGCTGGGGACACCCCACCCCACCAGGGACCCCCTGGCCCAGCCACTCACCCCGTTGTGGGTGCCATGCTGCTGTGCGATGCCCAGGAAGGAGTGGAAGGGGGTCTTGGAGCCTGGGGGGAGAGAAGGGTGCAGGGATGCAGTGTGGGGGCACCCCCAAGGCTGCCCTGGCTGTCACAAGTCACACCTGACGGGTGACATCCTACACTCCCACGCCTGGCACATGTCACAGCAAACACCCACGGTGTCCCATGCCTGATGGGTGACACCCTGCACCCACAGGGTCCCCCCACAGGCTATCCCATACCTGACATGTCCCAGCCCACACCCACAGTGTCCCACACCTGACATGCTTCCAGCACCCACAGGGTCCCACACCTGATGGGTGACATCCTACACACTGTCCTGTGCCTGACGGGTGACACCCTAAGCTCACAGGGTCCCACACCTGCCACATGTCACACCCAGCACCCACACTGTCCCACACCTGACATGTCACACCCCACGTGATGTGCCACACCTGTCCCACCCAGCACCCAGTGTCCCATGCCCCCAGGAAGGGGGTGGTCCTTGCAATAGTGGGTGGCCTTGCACAGGAGGGGTGGTGTCCCCACTGTGCACAGTCCCCCCAGTTGAATGACAGAGCTGTCACCTTTGCTGCGTGACTTGTCCTGGTCGGAGAGATGCTCTGTCCTGGTCTTGGTGACCAGCTCCACGTTGCTGGCACTGTACACCTGGGGGGGACACCATCAGCCCCACCACACTCTGGGGGCTCCCCAGTGTCCCCCCCTTGCCGTGCCCACCTTGGCCTCGTAGCCGCTGACCATCTCCATCTTCTCCGAGCGCCAGCCCCAGATCCCAGACTTGTTCCTGGGGAAAGGGGAGACATCAGGTCCCCACGAGGGGGTCCCAGCACCCACTCACCCTCTCGCACAAGCATTTCCTTCCCCTTC